GTCTTAGGCTTCGGTGGCTCAAATGGGCAGGTGAGAATGCCTAATTGGGACAGAAGTGAAATCTACTGGCACACTTGCACGAATTCCCACAAATTTTGGCGTCCTTAATCTCCTTCGGCATTTGGGGATGGGAGAACTCCTTGTCGATCACAATGCCATTGACTAAACAGGTATCTTCTAATCGGCCGCCAACCTTGCCCTAAATCCCATGGAAGTACTATCACGGGCAAGACGAGTGAACAGCACTACCTCGACTTTGATAAGATCGAAGTTGACGTCCTTCCGCTCCAAGTCGGCAACCGACAAGACAGCGTCGGTAGCAATCTTGGCCATCTGGGCTTGTCGAGAGGACACTATCTACTCAAGAGAGCCTGACGCTAGAAGGATCCTTCATTGACAGTACTTTAGAGCCCAGCGCGGTCATAGCAGCGTGGTGAAGCTCCTCGTTATCATTTTTGAATATATCGACCTAAAGCACCGGGACTTCACACAATGTGTACTTCCTCGGACATTACCTCCTTGCTGATCTCCTGAACACGTTTGATGGCGACTTCACAGGCCTTCTCGAATCCATCAGCGATTCGCAGGGGATGGATGCCCATCTCGAGGAGCCTGATAAAACAATCGGATGAGTTTCGGCAGTAGTAAGCCAGCTCGCTCACTTGTTAGCTTGTTCGAGCAATGCACCAGCGATGATGACGATGCCAGTGGTACCATCACCAATCTCGTCGTCCTAAACATAAACAATATGGAATAAACACATTACAGCTCTTTGAGCCTACCTGGCTCTTCGAGAGCTCGACCATCAACTTAGCCACCTGATTCTCCACTTGCATTTTGTCGAGAATTGTGGCACCATCGTTGGTAACAGTGACGTCACCATCAGGGCCGACGATGATCTTGTCCATGCCTACCATGATGATCACGGTTATCAACTTTCCCGAGAAAAATTGCACTCACCCTTAGGGCCAAGACTTGTCCGGATGGTCTCAGCAACGCTCCGTGCGGCAAGGATGTTAGCCTGTTAAAGAAGAAGTTGCTACGTCTGCTGATGAGGCGAGGGTCTTACCTTCTGAGCATCCAACCCGGTGACTCGCTTTTTATCATTCTGATCTTGCATGATCACAAAAGGATTACCATACTCGTCCACGGCGAGTTGGCCCACTGGGAGACCACCTACGAGAAGAGAGGTCTACATGAGCCTATATGCAATGATAGCGATCTCCGATCGAGCCTACGAGTTCATTCCTTGGCACGAAGGCACATTGATTCATGCGACAGACACTAAAATGATTATATCCGCATCTACAGCCCCTCCCTTGCGAGAAATGATGAATCCTCAGTAACTAACGATTCATTCGTCGGGAATGGACTGTAGTCTGGCGACAACTCCACTCTATACAACGCTAAGAGTTACTATAATGCCCATGAAATATGACGACCAGCGTTAAAAGGTTTCACTTACTTGTCCCTTCGTTGATTGATGCCATCTCCAATAACAAATATCTCCCCCAAAAAGTGTTGTGCCGAGGGGTGAATGCAGCGAAACCGAAATGGAGACGGAGCGAAGCTTTGCACGTTTGCCAGTTTTTGGCGAATTTGCAACCACAGCGACAACATCGGCATATTCTCATCTTAGAGAACTATGCTCAGTAGCACATGATGGAGCAGGTTGATGGTCAATATAGAACTTCGATAAAGCCAAACACGGTATTCGGAGGAGTTGCAGAGGGAGCGCTTGTTAGCAGTGCCGGATCTAGCCGTCAGGGTTCAACTCATTGTGCTGCTGCCCCGAGCCCGGATGAATATGTGATTGCCTCGTCAACTGATTTGGATATAGAGTGGTTGATCCTACCAGGCTAGCTCGGACTCTAGATTCGAAGCACGACTTCACTGTGCTGGTCATGGCTTGGTACTCGAGCGAGCGTGATCGAGGATGTAATAAATTATTACTAATAATGATGCAATCTCAGAGAGCCCGATCAGCAAAGCGGAGTCATCATTTCAAATCGTCTTCACAACACTGAAGGATTCTTAGATTCTGACAGGGGCTTTGGCAATGTCTTTTTCTCTGGGGATTCGGGAAACAGTGCCCGCAGCAAGTCCGAGGGATTTCCGTACATGACTCATGTCCTGCAATGTTGCTTCGTGACTCACAAGGTGATTCAGAACGACCATTTTCTTCCTTCCGACCTCAGACTCCCCTTAACTTATATTACAGCGAGTCACTGATATCGAAGTTGCTAATAGCAAAGCTCAGGGGATGTTTGTATTGATCCCATACTACTGATGGGCCGCCCACTTTGAGCCGTCTTATGGGAGAATGCGGTATCGTTACCAAAAGACTGATCGATCGGTGACTCATAAACAAGGACGTGACTATGAACTGTGATTCCGTCCACTCGTCTATTCATGCGTGAGTTCAGTAACTCCCATCAAAGGAACACAGTAGCATCAGTTGATATACAACTTGTATAATACAGGGGTCATGGATATTCTACTGGCGGGATGACTCACAATGCTAACCGAAGTTTTGCGGCTCGCCTCACGATGACCTCGCATTCGATAACCTGACCAAGCAAAACAGCAAAACTCGAACTGGAGATAATAAAGGATCGAATGAAAACTCACAACGGTGCCACTTGTAACTGATACAAATGAGGATCGATCATTCGTCAGTAGACTATCTGGCATAGTGGTAAGAGAAGGCCTTCCCATGTAGGTATCTGTCATCACGTCACATAATCTCTCGCAAGAAGCTACTTGGTCTCACGTAGTGCATCTGTCAACCGACTGAAACGGCTACTGCCAATGGCTCTCATAGTCTGACAGTGAAGACGATGCTCTCCGGGTTTCGTCGGGAGGGGAAGCAAACCGTATGATACTGAAATCGATTACTCCCTACGGATGACATGCTTAAATCCCACAGAGCGATCCTCCAGTTGAACTATTTCCCTCAGAGCCACCAGCATCATCGACGGCATAGACCAGCACTTTCAGAATCGGCCATGAAGCTATAGAATTGAAAGCTAAGTAGAGATCCAGGGGATGGTTCCATACATACACCGACGTGCCGATAAGATGACGGCTGTGCTGAAAAGGAACGTTGTCCCACAAGTGAGAGCATATCTCTGCCGTACATCACGATAGCATGTCTGAGTTTGTTCCGACCTAAGTGTTTGACTACTGATCGGCATCCAACCTAACTTCCGGCATTTGCCCAACCACTGCTCACCTGACGAGAGTATAACTTTGATAATTGTCACCTTTAATTGTACCAGAGTCTTCCTCGTTGGCTTCTGTGCCGGGAAAAACAACTGAGAACTCGACACGAAGGCCTATGGACGACTTGTACGGTCCGAAGTCGAAGCCATGGGAGATCTGACCGATTACCACGAGCTCTCCCTGAGAAAAAAACTTCCCTCAAGCACGGTCGCGTGAATGATCTACCTGGCAGTCTCTGTTCCGGAGATATGATGACTCTCCGCTCGTATCCACCATACCCTTGGTGAAGGATGTTGTCGGTGGGAGCGAAGATCCTTTCTCCTGAGCCTCGGCCTTCCCCTCTGTCGACGATGTCATACAAGAGATGGAGATAATAGAGATACAAGAGATAATGCCACTGCTACTCGCAATTTGCGAGTCGTAAACACCCAATTAACGAAAGCAACTAAGATTCGCCGAGACGCTGAAGACTAAGAAAATATTGCTCTGCGTGGCCACATTGTGGGTCATCCTTGTAAGCCGCAATGTGAATCATCAATATCGTCCTTCATGGTTACTCAGAGTAACTTACTCTTCTTCAATTCCATGCTGCTTCGACACCCGCATACACAAGCAGCACGGATTTGACGTGAGGACTTCAATAACACGGGTGACCGATTTTTGTGATATAGTGTCCAAAATGGACAGAGAAAACCGAAATGACTAAACGATAGAGATTTTTGCGTAGATTCAGATTTAGTAGTTGGGTTCTTTATCTTGCACAGGTTGCAGCTGCTCACCGATTGAGTCTTCCCTTCCACAGTAAATTGAGTATAGTTCCTCGCTCACTTCGAATTGTCGATTCTAGGGAAGGCCGCGACACAACTAACATATACATGTACGTAGCTTGGGCCCCAAGCTCGCACCCCAAGCCTTGGGGTGCGTGGACGCAAGGCATCATCGCCCAGTACCTACAAGGGGAGATTCGCAGCACATGGTAGCAAATCACCAACACACGATAAAGAGCCATCATCGCGAGCACCTTGGACAGGAGATCTTCTGAAACTGCGAGGGAGGGACTGAATGCAAACCACAGTGGTTTAACCACTTGACAAGTGGTTTGCGCGGACCACTAGCGGAGTTCGAGCAGGGAAAGCATCGATATCCATTGCAGAGGGAGTTTGTCAGCTATCCTTGTTCATCATAATTCAATGAGCAGGTAGCTGAGTAACCAGACGGTAAAATGCCCAGCCGTTCGGTGGGAAAAGGCTAGTGCCTGGTTCACTGACCCACATTAGCGAGCGATAAAGGAGCCTGAGAGAGGAGAAATCCGTTGCGATCTCTTGGGCCGCGAGAGACGCTCCGGGAGCCTGGCTTCCGCAAATCTTTCGGGAGCCTCTCGCGCCTTTGGCCTGGCTGGATCTACGCACAGTGGTATTCTGCCCGACAACATAGAAACTTTACATGTTTGAAGACCCCCGAGCAACGCAAATCCGGCAAGAGAAGCGGTGAGTGCCGCGTTGGCGGATCGATGCCGCCAAGAAAGCTCGAATAGTTAACAGTAGGCTGAATAGGTCGTGCATTTTGTCCTCCTCAAATATTCCCAGCGAATAACCCTCTGAGCTTTTGCTCTGGGATATGACAACCACGAGTTGTAATAGGAATACCGTTGGTGCAGACTCTGCTATTATGTCTAGCAGGCAGAATAGCACCTGTGACGCACGGTCACTGAACGTGACAAAGAGATATTGGACGACCAGCAGTGTTTGTTTGAATGATACTTTAGTTACGATAGTCGACAGAATTACCACGACAAGTACTGTACCTCTGTTTCATAAAGAACTCATCGAGTGCACCATTCGCCCACTTCTGCAAGGACTCGCAATACTGTGCCAATGGATATAGGTGCGGGAACAAGACGGACTCTACACCCACTGTATCAGAATCGATTTCGATATAAGGCTTGAGTCCAAATGTTTACACCCTGCCATTTTCTGTGAGCATGCTTCATAGGCGACACGGACAAGCTCATTGGTACACCCACGCCTACACAACTCAGTCACGCCCTGCCAAACGGACACAGTTTACGAACGATAGCCCACTCCTCTGCATCGTTGGAACCAGCCAATTCGCCAACCCTCTGACTAGATATCCACACGTGTTCAGTGGCGAGATCAGCCGTCGTAGGAACTCCACAAATGGCTCTACCCTCGAGCTGTCATCTATATTGTAGGAAGTATCCTGGGATGTAATTGTAATATAATGATTATATCCAGGTTCTGGATTTCAGAATATACGTGGACCCTATCGGCAACTCTCATGGGTGTGCACCATCAGATAGATTCTATCTTGATTACATAGAGGTGCTTGACGAACATTCGCCACACCCAGGTACCGGTAACTTGTCGTCGAACTCGGCATGGAAAGACAGAGCTGCATAAGACATACTTTTCAAGAGGAATTCGCGCAGTATTCTATCAGTAATACTGATAGAATACTGCGCGTTGGTGGTTCGAGTAATATACTGATTCAGTATATTACTCGAGCTACCAACCCCTGGACGACGTTGCGCTTACTACAATGAACGGATATTATAACGAACACCGTTCTGTGCATGACCATTACAGTCAATGAGGCTCATTGAATGAGCACTTCACAATGTGAAGTTCACCTAGTCAGGCTGCGAGCTGACTGAAGTGTGATACGGATACAGTAGGCTGTTCCATTCAGTACGCGCAGCGATTAATTTCAACGGGCGATGTGAATGACTTTCCCACGCCGAATTCGCCTCCGACTACTACCCGCAACAAACTTATAGACTTGGTTGATCTGGTTTTGTCTAAGCTCCCATCTCTCTGTGAATTTGCGATCCAGTTGTAGTACACGATTGAATAGTCTGACACAGGACATAATCAGCACAGATTCAACTTGAATCATTCAATCGACAACTCACAATTCTCCGGTCAAATAAAAACAGTTGTTGATCAATCCAAGCGAATTTCACACCGAGTTGAGAAGTGTTACCGCCAGATCTAATTGCCAAACCTAATTCATTTTGTCACCGAAATTGAGAATATGGTCAATTGCGGCTTGAAACGCGACATCTTATTTCATATAAGATGTGGTACTTGCTCATAGCAAGTTGCTATGTGGGGACTTTCTATGAAGGGTATACACGGTCGGACGATGCTGGTCGGGAGTTCCAACCAGGAGACTTGGTATACTCGGACGACTCATCTGAGACGAGAAATATCATCACTTACTGGGATCAACTTCGTTCCTAGCAGAGAGACGCCGCTGCTCAGACTCATGCCAGAATGATAACAATTGTTCTAGTGGAACATGAAAATGATCTCGGAGTATGGCGACGATTGAGAACTATCACAGTACTAAGTCCGCAACGTCGAACCAAGAACTGCAGGAGGAACGAACGCATTTCAAGTGTGGCACTTCATACAGGGTTAATCGTGGTTCTGCAGGTAAACCTCCTAGGGTGACGTAACGTCATTGATGTTCACCTCATTAAGGTGACCTTAATAACATTGATCTGCTACTATCATGGTTGATGTTCACCTCCCCTTGATACCTATCAGCTATCAGCTATCACTCGACACTTGATACCTTTGGTATCAATGATACTGATCGACTGATAAGTAACCATCACGGATTAATGAAGACCACTGTTAGGTCTTTGTTGTGCTGCCAGCAATGATAAATTTACAGTTCAGAATTCTTCAGCCAAGAAACATCATCATTGTTATCACGAATATCATCTACTATACTTGTAAATTCCCAAGTAATCCGGCTTGAAATGCCAACGGATAAATAAAGTAACGAGTTGTAATGAGGTACACAGTGGAGGAGTCTAATGTGGTAATTTGAATAACCGCCCTTGTGTAATATCGTTTAACGTAAGAATGGTTACCTAGCCGTTCCAGCATGGCCTGGCCAGGCTGGGGCTACCGTATGTCAATCACAGTTAAGATGCATTGCCATAACACTACCAACTCAAGACTATACGGCAGTTTACTTGCATGCAATACGAAATCCGTGAAAATCAGGCACCGCTAGCCACTGCTGACTCCATTGTGATCGTCTCTCCCACCATCGACTGATGAATCTTAGCTCTATGCAATTCATCATCTTCTTTGCCGATCTGAACCAAACCATACAGGATGAAG